TATTACGTGTCTATATTATAGCTGACATGACAAGGGCGGCTAACGCAGAATAATTTTGGGCAAAAAATTGATCCATGAAGAAGAAACCATAGTACACACGATATTAAACATTCATCTTATTAGGTTTCAAATATATTATTTGGCAGACAATTGATCCGTGAAAAAATTTCTACTATATGAGGTTAATTTGGACTTTATGAGAAATCATGCACTCTAAACCAATGTTCAAAAGGTGGGCCTAGGCATGAAGCATGAGGACCCCCATATGGAAAAGTAGTAGAAAAGCGGTCAATCCTATTATGATCGTCTATAATGTGGGCCTAGGCGCCAAAAGGCATGCGCCGTCGTATTTTTTTCCTTATATTAAATAAATTAAATAAGTAAAGGGAATTATTATTAATAATCTTCAAATAATAATAAAAATGAGGAAACTGCGTATTACGCCTAGGTTTGTAAAGCTGAGGCATGACCTTACCGCCTTGGCATGCCTTGCACCTTTTAAAACCTTGCTCTGAACATGCATATGTTCAAAATATTCAAAAACGTTGCATATTTCTCGAAGATTAAGATTCAAAAAAGTGCGCAGGATCATGTTTCTACACTAATTCAAAAATGTTTTGGCAAGTGTAAATAAAAGAACCATACATATATATAAGCCAAACATCTTTTTCCATTCTAATTACTTCCCAAAATTTTTTATATTATATACAAATTTGGAAATTATTATTTTCGATTACTATTCCCCCCCTACTCCTTAATTTATAAATTAATTTATTTCGAGAGTAAAATAATGAAGACTAAGTGAATGGTAGATCACAATAGATGTCCATACAATGTTAAAGAAATATCAGAAAAAAAGGGAAAGTCTATGAAACTGAAACTCTACTCCTCTGGCACGCCAGAGAAAATAGAGGGGGGCGTATCTTAGATGCACATTAAAGGTGAATCCAAAGTGCAACTCTCTGCCACAATGATGTTGCCCAAAAATAACAAAATTGACAATGATCTTTTACCTGGATTATTTAAGTTTCATCCTTTTAACCGAGTCGGCAGGAAAAGCCAGAATTCCAGCTGGCAAGTGATACGTTGCAGCAACATAACTTGCATGTAGACCCGTGTCTCTTGTAACAAAGAAGTTTCATTTTTGCGGATTACTCATACCTCTATATTCTTCCACCTAATCCCCACAGATTTGTCCTTATCACCTATGTATTTCCCTATGCCTATTTAAAGCAAAAACTTGAAATGCCTAAAGCATGGTGTGACACATAGTTTCATCCCCAATCTTTCACCATGAGACACATAGTTTTTCAAGATCCATATGTGAATGAGACCTATGATGCAACAAGAAGTCTCAGCAATCTTTGGGAGAGTATACGAGTGCCAATTATCGTGCCTATTCTACGCATTGCAGTTTATATATGCATAGTGATGTCTGCTATGCTTTTCCTTGAACGGGTTTACATGGCAATTGTGATTACATTTGTCAAATTTTTTGGGAAGAAAAGATACACCAAGTACCAGTTAGACAGCATAAAAGAGGACCTGGAAAAAAACAACAACTACCCTACAGTGTTGGTTCAAATCCCTATGTTTAACGAGAAAGAGGTAAACAACTAGAATATCCTTTGCACTGCTAGTTTATTAAAGGCATAGACATGCATCAAGCATACAGCACATGTATACAGAAGCATACAAATTCTGCATTCTTTTATCATTTCAGAAAGGCTAATCAGCATTAATCCCTATTAAATGCCTATAATGACCAAAAAGCGTTTTCAATCAGCCAAAAAGCACCGGCAAATGAATTGTATAATAGCAGCATGTAAAGCATGCATACAATTATACAGCCACGTGCAATTATTACTTAGGAAAGTTAACATGATTTCTAGATGCGTACTTGTATGAAAGAAACGATACAAGTGACGTGCTCTAATAGTGTTTTTTATACTCTCATCTTACAGCTTTCAGGTCAAAATTTATCCAATCATGAACATACATACTATTAAATCTGGATAGCAATTCATACATCCTTTTACTTTTTTTTTTATCTGCATTTAATTTGAAAAACTGAAAAGAAGAATATTTATTCCAAAAGAATTATATAAATATAAAAAGAAAATCAAAAATGAGTATCTGAATCATGCCTGGCGAATATCAAAAATTTTACAGCTTTCAGGTCAAAATTTATCCAATCATGAACATACATACTATTAAATCTGGATAGCAATTCATACATCCTTTTACTTTTTTTTTTATCTGCATTTAATTTGAAAAACTGAAAAGAAGAATATTTCTTCCAAAAGAGTTAGATAAATTTAAAAAGAAACTCAAAAATGAGTATCTGAATCATGCCTGGCGAATATCAAAAATCAATTAGAGTTAAAAGACAAATATCATTTTTGACGAATCACAAAATAGTACCTTCAAAACCTCGCTTCATGCGTGTTTGAGTGACCGTGCATCGCTTTTCTGTAGAAGAAATAATGAGGAATTAAAGGTCGATCGACGATATTTAAGTGATTTTTCTACAAGAAGGTTAATGATCCTTATTTAGATAAATGAACAAGATTAAAGTAAAAGTTGCCTATTTCCCTCTTTAGTTTATCATTATTCCCATGTCATGCAATCTTAGTGAATGTTAAATATAATTGCTTCCCCTCCCTTCTAACTTTCAACTCTCAGGCACAAACATTTTGTCTCTCCTTTCATACGGTAGAATATATCTAGTTGGGAATTTTCATTTATGTTTAAGCAAGGAAGTTTCCAAATGGATATTGAATATAACTTTGATGACCCAACATATTTCATTAATATATCACTGTTGTCGACATTAAAACCATATCAATAACTGTGTAAAGCATATCATGTGTTAATTTAATAGAGTGTAATTCCAGCTTGCTTGATGATTCCCCATTTAAGGTCAGTTTTACCACTAAAACACCAGCTAGATAAGGAACAGATAAATCCTATATAAAACCATCTAATACAACCTAACTTGGACTGCATTGATTTATCCCAAACATTCATGTCTCTGATATTGATGTATATAAAACATAGAAATATACGTAATCACCTGAAAGCTTCACACAAACAAGCAAATTAAACGAAGAAAATAAACATGAATTCATGATAGATTTTTCATATGGACAAACAGCTGGGATACAACACACTGTTAATCATGTGAGAGCTCATACTTTGAGCAAATATGGAACTTAAAGAAAAGAAGAAAGATTTAATTTCTATTTCAAAGAATTTAAACTAAATATGAATAAATAAATCCAACATCTTCTTTACGCCTAGGTTTACAAGCTTTCCATAGGAGCTGTATGTGCGCTTTCATGGCCATCAGATCGACTCATTGTGCAAGTTCTTGATGATTCCACCAGTGAAGCCTTAAGGGTATCCTTTTGAACCAAATGTAATCTTCAATGTAAATTCTAGTAAAATCATGTATCTGTGCAATGATTCTGGAGAATATTTGTGCAGGCAATGGTAAAATTGGAGTGCCAAAAATGGATGGCGAGAGGGGTGAATGTTAAGTATGAGACGAGGAACAACAGGAACGGATACAAGGCTGGTGCTCTTCGAGATGGCTTAAAAAAGCATTACGTTGAAGATTGTGAATTTGTTGTGATCTTCGATGCAGACTTCCAGCCTGAAGGAGATTTTCTCTGGAGGACTATCCCCTACTTACTTGAAAACCCAGAGCTGGGCTTGGTTCAGGCAAGATGGAAATTTGGTAAGGCATATGACAGTAATATATATACTATAGTTGAAAGATCTCTAACTAGATTTACCTCCAATATAAAAGTATGTCGTACTCCATAAATGAAGATCAGAGATAAAAGACAGAAGGTAATTGGTTTAGTTAACATGTAACTCCGAAGGTGTAATGCAAATAAATTAAACTAAAGTGGATATTCCTCGTAACAGCTTCAGTTGCTCTAAAAATTAAGCATGTTTTCAAGGTATTGACAATGACTTAATTTTTGCAGTGAATGCAGATGAATGTATGATGACTCGGCTCCAAGAGATGTCATTAGATTATCACTTCACTGTTGAACAAGAAGTGGGCTCCTCAACATGCTCGTTCTTCGGATTCAATGGTTATCAGCATATCATGTTTCCCTTTGAACATATTTGTTTGCTAGCCAACTAGTAAAGTAACAGAGGTAACAGACTTAAGATGTTGACATGAATTGCAGGAACTGCAGGAGTCTGGAGGATCCGAGCAATAAATGATGCAGGCGGGTGGAAAGATAGAACCACAGTAGAGGACATGGACCTTGCAGTCAGGGCTGGCCTTAAGGGCTGGAAATTCCTCTTTGTGGGTGACCTCGAAGTAAGCATCTAAACTATCACTGGGATACACTATCTGCAGTGTGAAGAATAGATTCCTCTAAGTTGAACACAATTTACCTTCCATCAGGTAAAAAATGAACTACCAAGTACGTTTAAGGCGTACAGATATCAACAGCACCGCTGGTCATGTGGACCCGCTAATCTTTTTAGAAAGATGTTTATAGAAATCATCACGTGTGAGGTATTAAATCTACAATTGTTCCCTTTTACTTTCAGCAATAAACTAGTGGTATGACACTGAATTTGAATTTACCCGAGAAAATTCAGTGTGCCTTCCTAATGTTTGCAGCGCGTATCACTATATAAGAAATGGCATGTGATATATGCATTCTTCTTTGTAAGAAAGATCATCGCCCACTGGGTCACATTTTTCTTTTACTGCGTTGTCATTCCTGCAACTATATTAGTTCCAGAAGTTCATCTTCCGAGGCCACTAGCAATTTATCTCCCAGCGTGCATAACCATTCTCAATGCAATTACCACTATAAGGCATGAAGATTCAGATAAGCAAAATACAATTTCCTATTCTTCCATTTTGCACAAACCTCCCTAAGAATCAATTAATTTGAAGTCCCACTTACTTTTGTCACAGATCTTTACACCTTCTCGTTCTTTGGATATTGTTTGAGAACGTGATGTCATTACATCGATCCAAAGCAGCCATTATAGGACTGCTTGAAGCCAACAGAGTTAATGAGTGGATCGTGACCGAGAAGCTAGGTAATATGATGAAGCAGACGTTCAATGTGAACACGGCAAGGAGGCCACGATCACGCATAAGAGAAAGGTATAATGTCCAGTATGTGCTTCATAAGCACCATTTCATTATGTTGTAGTGTTGATCAACGAAGGTTTGGTGATTGAAATTGGAAAGGCTAATCATTAATTGATAAAAATATGATGTCTTTCAGATCATTAAGGTATAGAAACACCCAAATGTGCCTACAGACATGAACCCACTATGTTAAAACTTTTATTATTTTCTTGAGCAGTAACCAGCAGAATCTTTTATGCATCAATAATTACATCTACGAATGGAGGTTATTTAGAATCTCCTCGACATTGTTGTGCACTAACCTCGCATTTTGGTTTCAAATCAGGATCCATATATTGGAGCTTATAATGGGGATGTGCTTGCTGCATTGTGCTGTGTACAACATGTTCTATGGGAACAATCATTTCTTCATTTATCTACTGCTGCAGGCAGCGGCCTTTTTTGTAGTCGGACTTGGATATGTTGGAACAGTCATACCCAACTAAAGATGATGATGCAGATGAGCCGATGAAGACTGATTTTAATGACTACCTAATAGAGTACCATATACATGAGTGTCAGGAGTGTTTGGTTTGTTACTCTAGTGTATTATACAATTGTACAACAAGTCCATGCCGTGATTGGAATAAATAATTTGTCTGGTGAGATGGAAATCTTATGCACATGTTTAATGTTTTGCATTATTAGTTAACAAGCCATGCTACTGTAGAAAAGGGTAAATCTTTATGCTACCATCAGATGTTCCTCAATCCAGTAATTATTTACTCAAACGTCTCAACCATAAACCTGATCAAGTTTCCAGTGTTCAAGGTGAAAATAAAATTAAAATAAAGCAAAATACTATTCATTAATTGATAGATTTTTCCTTTTTGGGCATGGAGAAGGGGAGAAGAGTGATTCTACCCTACTGGTCACGATACTCGAACTCATGAGAGGAAATCAGTATTTCTTCCAACCTATACAATGTGCTTGGCTCATTGATTGGTCAATCCTTATTATACTCTATCTTTGTAATCTAATAAACGAAACAACATCGGATCATGAGACTTGCATAACATAAAACTGACAATTATTGAGACGGGTTCATATAGTAGATTCAATACGACATAACTTGAAACCGAAACAAGAAATTTGGATCAAGAACTTGCACTGGGAGGCTAAATTGTACAGACATCCACGGAGAAGTAAAAATGATTTGTTTGCTTTCCAGATGTAAAAGGTGTGCCGAAGAAATGGTTGCTTAACTGTCTAAATGCAGAGATCTTAGAAAATCCCAGATTAACATAATTTTTCAGAGTTTTGCAATTTCTTATATAAAATGTATAGTTGATATGTTAAATAAGTTTAAGATTACTAGATTAAAATTTTTATGTTGAAATTAGGGACGGTACTAAATCTGAGATTAACAAATGTCACTCCAGCATTTCCATGATTAACAAACAGGGTCCCTTTGTCTCTTTTTAAAAAGGGGATCGATGGATTTCACCCCTCCCTCCAAAAGGAGGCTCAAACCCAAGTTTCACTCTTATCACTTGAGCTAGGCCTTGGCCTTTAATGAACAGTGTCTAACATTCATACATAATGCTACAATATTTCACACTCAACCAAATGAAATATAGCTGACTCCGATTAGCCACCTTTCAATTGCAACAATCCACCTACGATCCCATGAAATTCATTTGCCTGTTCTCTTGTGGGTATCCAGATAGTTGAAATCATACATAAGAGGCACCTAGAGAGCAAAAGGAATATTAGAGTGCAGATTGTCTTGCAAAGTTTGCTTGTTTAGAGTCCCAAATGTTGAGATAAATCATGTCACCCCAGCAACAAATTACAATACGTACAATCTCCTTAGCTCACTAGAGAGAAACTATAAGAACCCTTATCTTTGAGGGTTGAGTTCTAAGAATTTGTGAGCATGAATAAATCAATATCCATTGCCATTTTCTAGGACGCTAGGTTGGACTGCTTCATGACCTAATGCACTGGAAACAAGTGATCAATTAACTACATTAATCAATTTCATAATAGTGAACTCTTTAGCTTCCATAATCATTCACAAATTTATACCTTATTATAGATTATGGATCAAAGGAACTATACCCTAATGTGTTTTTGCAGTTTATTCAAAATAGTCTAGAAAAAGATCCTGATTCCGATTATGGGAGCCTTTACTAAATGCAGGTCTATGGGTGCTTAAATCAGATTCTATATCAATCATGCTACAAGTAAATTGTTTTTGACATCAAATTTGACATTGTGCCACATGTTGTAGCACAATTGGCCAGTTTGAAAATTCAATACACTTTCCCGCCACTCTATTTTTGAATTTTCAAAGAAGTGTCAAACTTCATGTACCCAAGGGAGTGTAGAAGGAGCATAATTCTTTCAATAATGTATCTTCACAAACGCAGTCTAATTAGTTGCATGAGTGGATTCAAATAACTATATCAACGAAATTTAGAAATATACAAAGATTTCATCCGGTCAGATTTCATCCGGTCATAGTGATATATGTTAATTAATTAAAAATACAGAATAAACCAAATATAATGGCAAATTCAAATCGCTGGATATTTCATAATCGACAAACATAAACATACCCCTAGGAACATGAAGACGCGCCACAAATGTATCAGAATTCTGCCTGGACAGCAGCCGGAGGAGATGGTTTACCCCATTTTCCTCCAATTTCAAGCAGTTGATAAAATTGCAAATAAAATCGCAGCTAGTGATTAGTAAATTGTGGGCGTTGCTTGAAACCGCAGTCCGAAGGAAGACGGAAGAAAAAATGTATGACAAACCCAAATATTGACTCTACAAAATGCTTACTAATCCGCTTTTATTAGTTCTTTAGGAAAATAATGATTTATTATTATATTTTCTTATGCAAGAAAAATATATTTTAGGATCCGTTTGATTTTAAGGGTGGAAAAAAAATGATTTTTAGGGAAAATAATTGCATAGAAATTATTTTACAGGAAATTGTTAATTAAATGTGCTTGATTGATATAATTTTTCACCCGAAAAATTTTTAAATTTTATATTCGTTTGACTTTATTTTACATGAAAATCGTCCATTAAAGTGATAATTTTTTCCACAATTGGTTATAAAATTTGTTTCTATTGCCAAAAAGTAAAAAGAAAAAAAAATTGTTTCCTAAAAAAATATTTTTTTATCAAAATTTAATATTCGTTTGGCATTCGTTTGCATCAAATTTGTCCATAAAAGTAAAAAAAATTTTACACTTGATTATGAAATTTGTTTCCATTACCCAAAAGAAAAAAAAAAGTCAAAATCTGGAAAATGATTTTCCCACCAAAATGGTGGGAAATCATTTTCCACAATTTCAAGGAAACAAGGCACGTGAGCCGAGTCCCAAGAAAATTAATTCCAACCTACTTTTTGCCATCAAACAAGACAAATTGCCTAGAAATGGAATATATTTTCCTATTTTCCAGGAAAATTTGCCTTGTCAAACAGGGCCTTATAGTTGAACTTTGTATAATTTTACTAATTTAGCCCCAATTTTGTACTCCCTTTTTCGAAAAAGAAAATTCTACTTGTATATCAAGTTTTGTACATAGGGGATTACATTTCGTTAACATGAAGGTGGGACCCACTGCATAAAATATTTTTTTATTTAAGCTGATCCCACCCCATGTGAGGGGGTGTACACCCTGATGTACATTGTGATGTATAAATAGCAAAGCCCTTTCCAAAAATTCATTTTTTCAAAATTAAATTTGGATCGTACATTCTCCATAAAACAATTTTATACGTAAATTCAGAAAAAATTGTTTTTCAAAAATCATTATTTCAATTTTATACGTAAATAATTTTAATCACGCACTTTTCAAAAAATCATTATTTCAAAACACATTTTCCCCCAAAATTGTTTTGGTTTGGAACTTTTTCAAGCCGTTTTAAATGGTTCTTTTTTAAATTTAAGCCACTGTTTGCTTCTTATTTTTATCCATAAAAATGAAAAATATGACTGTTATTCATCACATCAATCCATCAATTTTGAATTTCTATCTCTTGTGTGGGGTCCAATAACGACTATATTTTTCATTCTCATTCTACAATAATGAGAATCAAACAGGCCATAAACTTCATTTTCAAATCATTAATTTAGATCCATGTGAACCCATCAAAAATCTACTTCTGAAGTGAACCATTAGGTTTCATTGTTAAAACCTACTTTATACCAAATTGAACATTTCACCTAACTAAAAAAATATTTGTACGCCAATATATGTGATTTATTAATTCAATTTATGTTTTAACAAAATTACTTAGTCGACTTCTATTGGCTCTTTAAGAATAAATAATAATTCACGATAATATTTTTTTGTTGTAAAATTATGAGATAATTATTGATGATTATTTAGTTTTATCAGAATATTTAGATAATTTTTACTCGCCTTCTAACATTAGCATAGTTTCTCTTGAATAAGAATCAATTTATAATCAATATTCAAGTTGAGTAGTTTTTCTTGCTCCTGAAAAAGCATAAATCCTGACATTAGAATATCTTTTAAAAAAATGCGTGTTTCATTACGCCTGAATAAGACAATTTAATAGAAATCACTATTCTTCAATGTTATAATATTGAAAGAGGAAAAAGTCTCAAAAGATATCGTACAATTTAATCTCTTGAAGAGATGTGATTCACATGCCAATATTACGAATCAAAATGCTTATCGTAAAGGGGGGGAAAACATAGCATTTATATAAATGAGTTTTGTTGGAATATTAAACTCATCTCACCAGTTCAACATGCAAAACACCAGCTCACTTTCAGCAAACCAGTCACCAGCAAGTTGCACGTTCCAGTCCCAGCTTATTCTAACATATTCTAGTTCCTTCCTTGGTTTGTTATCTTGTTAGTTAGTTAGATAATTTGTTACCTATTTCCTCTATAAATAGAATAGAATGCCTTGTAATTTTCTTAAGCTTGAATGAATGAAATAATTCTTCATCTTCCCTGCTATTCAGCAGGCTTATCTCCCGATTCCTGCCTTCTATTTTAGTTCCTTTATTTTCAGCTTTTATCTCTGTTTTCTTCCTGCATTCTGTCAATTTGCATTTCAATAATTTCAGCTTCCCTTCCTTGATTTTATCATGGTATCAGAGCAGGTTCTAATCCTTCCATCTGAAATTCCGATTCTTCTTCTCTATCTTTTCAAA